ATGTGCATTCATCAGTTCATACCGAACAAATATGTAAAGCCAAATAAACATACACCTTGAATCAACAGCCGTACTATTCTGTTAAAGCGCAGACCCAACTGATTACGAAATAGGATCCCTTGCCGTCTACTTAACCAATGTTCACTGAAATGCTTCGGCCGTAAATAACACGCACACAATGCGTGTGTGTTATTTGTGGCGAAAGCATGTCAGTAAGCAAGTACCAACTAGGCCAACGATCAGTATTGTTACAATATTAACCAATGTTCATGTGGCTCTTTTGTAATCTATTGCAGAAGAAAGGATGTTTTTTGTTTCAGCAACACTTCAACTAATTTTGTTAGAGAATATTCACAAGAGTCCTGGAATTTATCAAGTATCGAAATAAATCGATAATGAGCATTATCCACGACAGTATTGCAATAATTGGTTCCAAGAACATTGCTAACCTTTCAAATGCCCACTTTTGCAGTATCTTCTTCCTGCCTACTCGGCCCTCTTTTCGAATTCCACCATTCTGCTCTTCGGATTATAATATTTCTGAACAGGTTGTGCTTAGCGTGCTTCTACAATTGAAAACGAAATCCTCCGGCATTACGCTGAACCTCCAAGTCAATGTTTTGTTGCAATCATTCAGGCCTCTAGAATATTTGGTACTTCTACTCGATTGGAAAATTGCTCGTGTTGGCCACTTTCTGAGCAGGTGCTATTACAACACCGTGCAAATTTCTCGACTGCCCACAAGACAGTAAAAATGCTTTTGTTTTTTTATATATAATATTTATATATATTTATATACTTTTTTTAAAATTTAGACGACGGGTTTGTGTGAACACCTCTGACTTGCGGTAGAGTTCTACACGCTACAGATAATTTACTGTCAGTCTCTCCTTTTTTTCCTTTTCTTCCCTCTTTCTCATTTATCTTGTCCCCTTCCCTGATCCCCTTGGGTAGACTAGCCAACCGGATGTCTTTCTTGTTAACCTCCCTGCCTTCTTTTTTTGTTTGCTTTCGTCTTTCCTTGTGCCGATTTGAAAAAAATAGTGACCCATCTTCATTCTTCAATTACCATTCAATTTTCATTTTATCCTCTTCGTGCAAAATGATTGAGCATATTTTTGCAGACTACATAATAAAAAAGTACAAACAATGCAATATTTTACACGAGGGCACAAAAGAAGAGGCAGAGGCAAGCGCTGACTACCAACTGAATTTTCATTTACCACGAAATGAAAATATGTACGAGAAAAAAACATTACAAAAAATAAAGGCTGACAAGATTTATTTTAAGAGATGATTAAACATCATCAAGCTAACCCTTGTTATCACCTGCATGAAAGCAGAGGATGCTATGTAGGCCAAACATGCTTCTGCATATATACGATATTTTCCTTTCATGTTTAACCAAAATTCAGTTGCTCATCAGTGCTTGTCCATGTCTCTTTTTCTTGTGTCCCCATATAGAATATCGTACTCCATTATGCAAAACCAACCAGTCCAAAGCTTCACTCTACTAGATTGAAAACTTCTTAAAAGAACGCAACATGCCAACTCTCATTCGACGTGGCTTCAGAAAGGGTCAGTGAGCGCAGCCATTCACTGACAGAGCTGCTCTAACGGACGCTCTAGATTTTCGAAAGGTGTACTTCCTCATGACTACGAAGTACTGTTCTTTGGTTTCCTTCAGCTTTCAGCTTCATCATGTCATGGATATATACTTATATAATACATCGGAAAGAGAGCGCTGTCATTGATAGACAGAAATCTGATTCCTTCTCGGCAACTCCTGGTGTTCCTGGTATTTGGCCCAGTATTGTTCTTTTTATATTGTTACGACATAGTAGACATCATACATGCCCCTGTAATTATTAATCTTTTTGTGGACGACTGTGCCATTTTTGGGAATATTAATAGTAATACATTTAATGATGAATAGTTGCCTAGTTCAGCCTTACATAATGTTTTTAAGTGGAGCGAAAGATCGGGCATGAAGGTAAACTTTTTGAAAACTCTCTGTCTGCGTCTAACTAAAAAACGCTAGGCCTGTGCGGAAGGGGCAGCACAGTCACAGCAAAAGCTAGAAGATCGGTCTTTCAGAGCTTTTTCTAAACACTCATTGGGTAACTGCTGCGAGCACACTTGCTGGGTACCCACTGCGGCATTAATAATAACAATAATTTCTGGGTTGTAGATCAGCATTCGCTATGCTATTTTTCGTCATTCTTCTGAGAAGCATTGTATACACTGAGCACTTGCAAGGAATTTTGTGCCAATTGTTTATGCAGGGGCTGACGATGATGAGGATTTATGCCTTAAGTGGGTATGCGCCACTGTTAATAGGTGATCAAAAACAAGCTTTTGTGATGGGTTCGAGTGTTGAACAGCCCACTCATTACGCTATTGGCATTGTGTGCACCTCGTTGTTCCTTTGCTGTTCTAAAACACTTTATTGCTCATATTAATGCAATTCCTTTCCCAACATCAAGCCTGCCTAAGGCAAGTTTGCAAACAAGTCCCAAGCACCAGCATGGCTCAGTGATAGAATACTGGGCAGGCATGCAACGGACCCGGGTTTGAGCCCCTTGATACTAGTGTGAAGAGGTTTATTAGTCGTTAAGGACAGTGGTGAGGCAGCATGAAGAATTGTCCAGAGACCGGCACAGCAGCGAACCGAAGCACGAGTCGAGCGAGCCGGGCGTTGGCGATGCTACTCGCTGTAGGCGCATTTTCTTCCTTACACTGGGTTTTTTTTTCTTATTTCGAGATAGTGATTACGGACACCGGCAGCGGCGGCGGCGGACTACTACGGCCCCACGTGTGACCCATACTTTGATCTCATAACAGTTTTTCCTGTAAAAAACAGCACCTCTGATCAGAAGTTTTTGTACTCCATTGATCAAGACCATTTGATTAAAATTAACGAGTGTGAATATCTTGGAGTTATCATTACTAACAACCATAATTGGAATACCCACATTTTTTACACCGCCTTTTTAGCTTTTAGAAAATTACGCATACTTCAATTGCCTCAAGCTTAAACGTGCATCTGATGATGTGAAACTTGGTTCATGCTACTTTTATCAGACCCAAGTTAGAATATGCCCGCATCATTTGGGATTCCTTCATGAATACCAGTGTTCGAAAAAGAAGAGCCACGTGATTGATTTTTTTCTAAGTACACCCGCGATAAAAATGTAACCAGCCTTTCACCTTCTAACAGAGACTTCAAATGAGCCGTAAAGTATCCCGACCGACGAATATATTTCTCTATTCCTTAGTCGATCCTAATTTCTTTTTAGAGATTCTAGGCGAATCTTTTCTGAGACCAGGAAAACATGCCATTTTCGCTTCCTCACACTCTTTCCATATGTTGCCAGAACTAAACTTTTTAGGTATTATTTTTTTACCAGGACTAGTGAAGAACGAAACCTGATACATGTTCATCACCCGGACTCACCAATTACATCTTAACTATTTCCGAATCATGTTTGGTTTAGAGTTGTTCGTTTGGCTGATATCCTTTAAGGTTTTTCAGTTGCGCCTCGTACATGCATTTTTGTCTCACCTTGCCCCTCCTGCTTGGGCACCATGGCCTGCAGTTGGGTTCAAATAAAAAATAAGCGCCCATGCACTCCATACGAATGGTTAACCCGCTAAAGCTGAACCGTGCGACTCTGGGGTTTAGCGGTAGGTTCAACCCGATGTAACATTGAAGCCTTTCAAAATTATTGGGTACATGTTCGGGATTCTTGATGACGTTAGACACACGTTTGACTTGGGTGTACAAAAAGTGTTTATTTCACATGTGGCACATTGTGTCTTGCATGATCACAGTTATAGAGTAGTGTAATGAGCGGTTAAGTGTGTTTCACAATGCGTTAATCACAGTGATTGTTCTCGACCCACAGGCAGTCACAGACCTCGTAGCCGAAGCCAGTGCGTGGCTGGCAAAACTTCCGCCGAAAGTGGGCATTCATCCCACTAAACATGCTTCGCAATCATCACATTGATGCCCCAACGCTGCGTTGTTGCAAGCGTTTCACATCGGGAGCTAACTCGACAGCGTGGTTTGCAGGATTCATCCGTCACCGGCATTTGCGTTCCCATTCACGCTGTAGCGTGGCTTGGAAGGCTGCCGGATCATTGCTGCGCAGTTGGTGCTGGCACTCGGCGTTCCAGGCCTTTTTTTGTGCCCAGACTGCACGATCTGGCCTGCGAATGCGAGCTCAAGCTCTCACATTTCTGCTGTCGCTGCTCTTCTAGGGTTGTCCATGGCGTGTTCATGTGGAAGGTTTCAGTAGAAACTCTCGCGTGCTCGGCACCACAGCTACAATGGAATAAACGACCTACGTCTCTCACAATGCAGCACATGGCGCGCCTGTTATGTACAAGGCTGCGAATGACGCTGATAACACAACCAATGGCCGGAGACCGCTCGTGACACCGCTGCCGCATGGTTTTTCATTTTCCCTAGCCATATAGAGCTTTCATTGTAAAGATATTCTGCATGCACTCGTGCCAAAAAAGAGTGTTCTTTTTCTTGTTGGTCCAGCTCCTTTGAGATGATATTAAGGCAGGCAAATTTACCACGCATTGCATAGCCAGCTGTAGCATTTCTGCATATGCCAAAAATACGTCTTCTTACTCTTGAGCGGCTTGATGACAAGTGAAGACTACGGCTAGGCAAGCACCTAGAAAGAGCCTTCAAGCTTTGCACTTTGTGAAGGCATTTTGTTCATTAGCTGTATTTATTGATAAAGCACACATTGTGCATGCGCAGATGAACAGATTTTCTGGGCAAATCACGCAAGACCGCTTAGGAACAAGAAGCACGCATATTCGCGCTTTTTAAACAACTCCTGTGCATAGTGTTAAACATGGCACTAAGTTTCTTATCAGTCACAATCTTGCAGTACACAATCTACATCATCTCGTAATGAATTACTCTAATGTTGAAAAGATTGCTTGGTGCGTATGCAGGAAGTGTGCTTTTTTTGCAGCTGACCAGCATGCTGGAAGTTACCTTGACGAAGCTGTCCCGCTACGACGAAGGCAGTCTGCTGGCACCGATCCTCTCCCTCACGGTGAGTGCTCATGCCTTACGCGAGGACCAACAAGGCCTGCCGCACGACTCGGAGAGGCTCGCAAAATGCTGGTTGGATAACAAAGTCTATGTTCCCGTGGTGCACCTAGCAGGCGACAGTGCGAGGTATGGTGGCCTCACGTAGCAGTCTGGCTAATCGTGATGATGCCAGGCACCAAGACTTCCAAAATTGCCGCTTGTGCATCACCAACTGGGAAAACATCACAATGTTTTGCGCGAGTTCTTGACGATGTGACGACAGCAGTAACTGAAAGTTGTTCTCAAAAACACTTTAATTATGTCTAAAGGGTATACTCACACTTAGTAGTACAATTTCTACACTCTTGAGAGCTTCGCCTTTGAATTGATGAGAGAAAAAAAAATGTAACTGATAGTTTACATGTCAGAATCTCTTTTATTTTATTAGTTTCTGTCTTGAAACCGGTTTAAATGTAGTGCATTCATATGGCTTGGTTAAAGGACTCTGACGCTGTTGGGCCACATTACCAATATGTGTGGCCGGGAAAGGTTTTTCAATTCTTGAAGCACATGGCTTTCTTCTTTTCTTTTCACCAGCTACATATATAGTGGAATTTGGACGGCACAAGTGGTTAGGCTTCGGAATGTCCTCACCAAAAAACCATGACCATGCTGTGTTATTAAATCTAAACTTTCCGTGCAAGCCTCCGTTTTTATCTCTATCAGGCTGCTGATTCTTGTTGCCTTCATGGTAACAGTAAAGGTTCACCTGTTTACCAGCTGCAGGTGGAAGACCTGAGTGCCTGTCCCAAAATCAGGGGTGGTGGCGGCACAGAAGTCGGGTGGGGGTTACAGATTCAGGACTGGATAGTTATTGAGGCGACAGAATTATCTTCGAACAAATCCCCCCCAAAATTCGATAAACACTCGCCAGTGAAATTTCGACAGTCAGTATTTATCTAACAAACTACGACTTTAAAAGGGCTCTTTGAAGGTTCAAAGGGCATTTTGTATACTGAGAATCAAAATCATCAGTCGGAAAAAGCACCCTTCCGTCACGGGGAGCAAACTCGTAATGTATGCTTGCGTCTACAGCAACAGGCTACAACACCTACAACAATTGTAGGTGTTTTTCCAGGGTGGCGCCAGGATTTTTATTTTCTTGCCGTCATGGCGGCCGTCATTCACCGTATATCTATGCGTACATATATATATATGCATGTACATATATATATATATATATATATATATATATATATATATATATATTGTACCGAAGCATAGTGGCGCCAGCTCTGTGCCAGCGTGAAAGAAGACGTTGACGTTCGTGTGTGGCTCGTGCTTGCCGGGTTCCTGCCTGTACCAGCTTGTTGCGGCTAACGTTTCTGGAATAATAACCTGTGTTTTTACGCAACCTTGCTCGTTGCATTTGGTGGAAACGTGCTGGGTAACGTCCTGGAGCTCCGCAGCCGTAAGCTACCATCTCAGTCCACAATGACCGAGCGCGTCGATCCCCCACAAGGCTCTTCCACGCTGCCACCCGTCATGTGTTCTGGTGTACTTCGTCTGCGTGACCCACCAGTATACAACGGCGCTGAAGATCAAGATGTCGAGGACTGGCTGGCAGAGTACGAGCATGCCAGCGCGATTAACAAGTGGGATGACCCTGCGAAGCTGATTCACGTCATCTTCTACTTGACGGATTTGGCCAACCTATGGTTCACCAACCACCAAGCCGACATCCCCACCTGGTCGGTTTTCAAAGAGGCCGTCACCTCGTTTTTCGGTCGTCCAGCCATGCGTAAGCTTCGCGCTGAACTGGGACTGCGGGGACGATTTCAGCGAAATGGTGAGAGCTTCACAAGCTACATTGAGGATGTGATCAGCCTCTGTAGGCGAGTTGATGACAGGATGACGGAGGCTGACAGAATAAAGAACATAATGAAAGGCATTGATGACGACGCTTTTCATATGCTTGTGGCCAAAGACCCACAGACCGTCACGGCCTTGATTCAGTTATGTCAAAGTTTCGATGAGCTGCGCAAGCAACGAGTTTCTACACGTCGCGCTAATACGCAGACAGCTGATATTTCGGCCTTGGAGTGCAAAAGCAGTGGCCCCGACTACAGCGTGTTAATGCCTCAAATTCAACAGTACATCCGGGAGGAAGTTGCTCGACAGCTCTCTCTTGTTGCCACCATCAACGAGACCCCCACAACACTGGACCACTCACTTCGCCGTGCTATTCAGACGCAAGTTGCCGAGGCTCTCCCTTCGCCCACATCCCCAATATCAGTGGCTGCACCGCTGACTTATGCAGAAGCCGTCCGCCGACCTTCTGCCCAACCGCCGCTCCCTTCATACAGTCCAGCCACCAACTACTACAGGTCACCAGTTTCAGTTTATCCGGTAAATCGGCCCATTCCACCACCTCGAGCACCTGCCAACTCTTGGCGTACTCCGGATAACCGGCCCATCTGCTACAACTGTGGTATTCCAGGACATGTCGCGCGCTACTGTCGTCGCCGTGGATTCTATTTTAATGATGTGCAGCATTCCGGCAACATACCTCGGCCATCAGAATCGCATGTGACACCTGATTCGCATGACCCCCGCTCACGTCGACCAGACTTCAGCCGACGTCGATCTCCTTCACCCCGTCTTCGGTCTCCTTCCCCCATGCTTCGCCGTTCCAACCACGCCCAGGAGGAAAACTGACAGTCGCAGTTCCTGAGGCAAGAGCTGCGCCACCGACGAAATTTCCAAGGCCTCATCTATCGCCCCCTAACGAGATTGCCGTGTTTGTGGACTGGTTTCGCCACAACTGCTCTTGTCGACACAGGTGCCGCTATTTGTATAATCAGTGAAGTGTTATGCCGCAAACTGAACAAAGTGACGACTCCACTGGTTGAAATTTCTTTACGCACGGCGAGTTCGCAACACGTCCAACCTTCTGCCACATGCACTGCTCGTGTTGTGATTCAAGGAGTGCTTTACATCGTAGAATTTGTCGTCCTTCCGCATGCGTCACATGAAATCATCCTGGGATGGAACTTTCTTTCCGCTAATCATGCGGTTGTCGACTGCGCTCGTGCTCAACTCGTTTTGTTTCCATTCAGCACGACATTCATAGATCTCCCTCGCTCACCCAAAAAGGTGATCGTCGCCGCTGACGTCGTCATTTCTGCTTTTTCGGTCACCGCGGTATCTCTTTTGTGCAACTCCGTTTCCGATTCAACTGCCCTATTTATGCCGTCACAAGAATGCGCTCGTCGCCGGAACCTTGTCGTCCCGTTTGCCGTCATAACACTTGCCGATGGCTCCAGTGCCGTGTACGTGTGCAATCCGTTCCCTTGTCCCGCTACCTTATTGCATGGCGAATGCATTGGGAGTCTTGACACTTATGATGACATCTTTCCCTTCGATGCCCGTTCTGATACGACACCGATGTCCGTGGATGCTGTCACAGCTGGCACCGCGCCCTCACTACCTGACGAAGACGTTCTGTTGCGCAGCGTAGACACCGGCCTTACGCAAGACCAGCGCAATCAGCTCATTCAACTACTTGACCGTTTCCGCGCCTCCTTCGACCACGGACAACCTCCCTTGGGACGCACGTCAGTTGTCGCTCACCATATCGACACCGGTCATCATACTCCACTTCGTCAGCGCCCCTACCGCGTCTCGCAGGCCGAGCGTGACGTCATCACTCAACACGTCGACGAGATGCTGCAACGTGGTGTTATTCAGCACTCACACAGTCCTTGGGCTTCGCCAGTGGTCCTCGTGCGAAAAAAGGATGGCTCCATCAGGTTTTGCGTGGATTATCGTCGACTAAACAACATCACACGCAAGGATGTTTATCCCCTGCCACGCATTGATGACGCCTTGGATTGCCTTCAAGGTGCGGAGTTTTTCTCTTCACTGGATCTGCGCTCTGGATATTGGCAAGTACCAATGGCTGAACCAGACCGTCCAAAAATGGCGTTTGTGACCCCTGACGGCTTATATGAATTTAATGTAATGCCCTTCGGTCTTTGCAATGCGCCTGCGACTTTTGAAAGAATGATGGACAGTGTCCTCAGGGGACTTAAATGGCACATCTGTCTTTGCTATTTAGACGACATAGTTGTATTCTCGGCGAATTTCGAAACTCATCTTTCCCGTCTGGAACAAGTTCTCCAGTGCCTTACGGCAGCCGGGTTGCAACTTAACTTCAAGAAATGTCGTTTTGGCGCCCGCAGACTCACAATTCTTGGCCACGTCGTTTCAAAAAAAGGAATATCGCCAGATCCTGCCAAACTGCGTGCCGTTGCCGAGTACCCCAAGCCTACTACCCTAAAGGAGCTTCGTAGTTTCATAGGCTTGTGTTCCTATTTTCGGCGTTTCATTCGCAATTTTGCCTCTATAATTGCCCCTCTGACTCAGCTTCTCTCCCGTAGCACGGACCTCTCTGGCTGGAATTCCCACTGCGATGAGGCATTCACGGCGCTACGCCGGCTACTCATCTCTCCGCCAGTTCTCCGCCACTTCGATCCCAATGCACCCACTGAAATTCACACGGATGCAAGCGGTGTCGGCCTCGGTGCCATTCTCGCTCAACGCAAGGATGGCTGCGACGAGTACGTTGTCGCCTATGCCAGCCGTACACTAACGAAGGCAGAGTCCAACTATTCCGTCACGGAAAAGGAGTGCTTGGCTATCATTTGGGCTATAGGAAAATTTCGCACCTACCTTTACGGACGCCAGTTTGATGTTGTCACAGATCACCATGCCTTATGCTGGTTAGCGTCCATGAAAGATCCTACTGGCCGCCTCGCTCGTTGGGCTTTACGCCTTCAGGAATACGATATCCGTGTTGTTTATCGCTCAGGACGCAGATATTCAGACGCCGATGCACTATCCCGTTCTCCACTGCCTCCTGACCTTGCCTGCTTATCAACTCCCATTTGCGATTCGTCATCGTTGAGCATCACTGACATGCCATCCGAACAGCGCAAGGATCCCTGGATCAATTCTTTG